CTCCTAGAGTGTGGGAACCCAGTCTGAATCCGGATTCACCTACACGAACGGTCGATCCGCATTCCTTTCACGCAGACGGTGAATCCGATTCTTCTTACGCGAACGCAAACAAAGCGAGGCGAGCGTCGATCTTCGAAAAGAAAGAGAGAGAGAGAGAGAGAGAGGCAAGTAGAATGGAGGAAAATGGTAGATGGAGGAGAGAAGAGGAGGAAATGGAGGAAGAAAGGAGAAGAGGAGGAGGAAGAGGAAGTGAGGAAGGAAGGAAGAGGAGGAATAGGAAGGGAGGAGGAGGAGGAAAGGAGGAAAATAGGAAAGAGTTAAGGAATTATTTGTAATCTTGTTTTCGACGAAGAAATTGAGGAAGGCATTTTATTTTTTTTTTTATTTTTTTATTTTTTTTTTTTTTATTATTTTTTTTTTTTGAGGGGGGAAGGTGGGAATGAGGAAAGTAAGAGAGAAACTAAGAAGAAGGCAAAATATGTTGATAATATGCCAGTTATTCAGATTGACTGAACCAAAAGGAACCTTTTAACCTGCCTCAAATGTTGCTCAGACAGTATTTTATCGAAGGACTGCGCTTACAAATAGTATTTTAATAAAGTTGAAAAAAAAATGACAGTAATTCAATGGAAAGGCAGCTTTGTGGTCCACAAACTCTCGACACATTTTAGTAATGGAGCTTGTGAACCTTAACCCAATGCTGCCAGGGAAAATGAATTTTAAAAAATGTGGGAAATGCTGTGCTCTTTTTCCATTTTTTTTTTTTTTTTTGTATAGATGGCTGTGCTAGTGCTTAGCCTCAAAGGAGTCAATCAGTAGACCTTGTGACCTTATACGATTAGAATTGGCGGAAAAAATGTATTTTTTACTAGTGCTTTGAGTATGAGTGGTGTTATTTTTATTATAAACATTATGATTACTATAATGTTATAAACATTAGTAACAACAAAATAAGATAACGTAAAATATATCAAGGAAAAGAGTAAACGGGGGAGACAGGTAGTACTCGTAATTGGCTCACTGACTTAGTACAAGTGTAGCCATCTATGTGTAAAAACAGTCAAACAAGTAAACTCACAGTGGGTATGGCACGTACGTACACGCCATGCCCATCGGCATTGGGCTAATGGTGGTTGATGTCAAATATGGAAGCAGTTCAAGATGTATATACTTGCTAATGAAATGTAGGGTGGAATCTATTTGCCTTTGCCTGAGTGCCAAATTTATCAGAGGCTGTGGCGGTCACTTCATGCCGTAGTGGATGCCCTTCCTAACTTCGAGATTCGAACCCGTGTGCTTGTGGATATATATATATATATATATATATATATATGAATAAATATATATGTAAATATATATATATATATATATAGATGTATATATAAATATTTGTATATATAAAAATATATATTTATATAAATATATAAGTATAGATATATATATATATATATGTATATTTATAAATATATATATATATATATATACAAACACGCACATAAGAACTGGCTGTGTTTTCATGCAGAGGATATTTTCATGAAGAAATATGAGGCCATTGTAGGATTTTTGTTACACTTTTTTTTTTCTTTTGTCTATATTTTTTTGCATCTATTTAGTTTGTATCACACTTGTATTAATTAATTTATTTTTAATGTTATTGTAAGACCAAAGGAGAAATGACAGAATGTTTGAGAAAGGACGGAAGGAGGAAGTAATTAAGTAATTAACAATAAATATGGGGAAGAAAGAAAAGTAGAAAGAAGGGAGGAAAGAGACATGTTTGAGATTTTTTAAAAGTTTATATATGTATTTGTAAGTAAAGGGAAGAGGGAAAGACGAAAATAAAAGAGAACAGGAAATAAGGCCAATACACAGAAGACAATATATACAAACAATGTGCCATGCCACAAGCGCTATGGCAAAGGCTAACAATCTCCATTATAAAGATCCTGGTGAACAAAGACTCGGGATTGTTATTCTGTGATTGGCCCGGATTATTCCCAGGCATATTATTGCCATTTTAGCAGTTAGATTACAGCTCTTGGGATAAATGCTCCTATGACGCCTGACTGACTCTGAACAGGCCTCTTCCCTGATGGGGCTCCAGCAAAAACAAACTAAGGCCAGATTTCATGGACTGAATTTAATTTTTTTTTTTTTTTTTTTTTTTTTTTTTTGACTTCTGCTGATTACTTGTATATATATTAAGTTATATGTATAAATATATAAACACATAAATATATATATATGTAAATATATTTATATAAATATACATATGTATATAAATGTATATATATATCTATATAAATATTTATATAAATTCATATATATGTATAAGTGTATATATATAAATATACATATGTATATATTTAAATATATATATATGTATATATATATATACATATATTTTTTTTTATATATATTTATATGAATATATATATGTTATATATGTATATATATGTATAAATATATATATATATGTACATAAATTTATATAAATAGATATATATAATTGTATATATATTATTAATACATGTATATATATAGATATGAATATTTATATATATATATATGAATATATATATATATATATATATATGTATAGATACGTATATATATATAGATATATATAAATAGACATATATATATATATATATACATATATATATATAAATGTTTATATATATCCCCTTGGTGCCAGGTGACACCGAGCGTAAATTTTTTTTTTTTCTTTTGTGTACCCAGCGTCATTGGGATATATAGGTATTTAGAAATATATATAAGTACATATATTTGTATGTATATATATATATATATATATGAATACACATACATGTTTATATATATAGATATTTAGAAATATATATAAATACATATATATATATTTATATATATAAATGTATATACATATATATCAAAATGTATATATACATATATATAAATATATATATATATATATATATATATATATATATATATACATATATCATATATATATCATATATATATATATATATATCAATATATATATATATATATAAATATATCAATATATATATAGTAAATATATATTTCTATCTAAATTCTTCATCTATCTCTGTACATCTACTATTTTTATCATGTATTTCGCTATGTGTAATATCTTCCTCTGTTCTCTCCACCTCTCTCTCTCCTATCTCATCTCCTCTATATCTCCCCTTGTCTCTCTTTCTCCGCCCTCTTTCTCTTTCTTTCTCTTCTGTCCCCCTTTTCTTCCCGCCCTCTGTCATCCCTCTCCCCCCTGTATTCCTATTCTCCCGCCTCTCCTCTGTCTGTCTCCGGCCTCCTCTCTTCTGTCTCAATCCCTCCTCTCTCTCTCTCCCTTCCCTCCTCCCTCTTTTGCCTACTTTCTCTCCTTTCTTCTTCTCTCCTTCTCTCTCTCTCTCTTCTCTCTCTCTCGTCTCATCTCGTTCATCTCTATCGCTACTCTCTTCCCTCTCCCCTCGCTCCCTCTCCTTCTCCCTCTCTCTCCCTCTGTCTCTCATCTCTCCTCTTTGTCTCTTCTCCCTCACCTCTCTCCCTCCGCTCTCTCTCTCTGTAGCTCTCTCTCTTCCTTCTCCTCTCCGCTCTCCTCTCTCACTCTCTCGTCTCTCTTCTCTATCTATCTAATATCTGCAAGATACTCCATACCCCATGTCATGCTCAACTCTCTCACTAGTAGCTGTACCTCGAATATTCTCCCTCCTCTTCCACCCTTCCTCTCTATAGCAAGTATACATATCTGAATCCCCTCTATATGTATATCTCTGTTTTTGTATTCAGCACAATATTTATCATCTCTCTAGTATATGCTCGCTCTCTCTCTCTCGTATATCTCTCCCTGTTTCTCTGCCTATCTCTCCCGTCCCAACCTCTCGCTTTTTGACTATCCTCTCTGTGGTGTAGTGTGTGTCTGCCCCCTCTCATCTCATTCTCTCTCTTCTCCCTATCTATGGTCTCTGCCTCCCTCTCATGTCTCTATCACTCTCTATCTCCTCCTGTCCCTCACTCTCCTCCTCTCCCTCCCTCTCATCTCTCTGCCTCTTCTATCCTCTCCCTCTTCTCTCTCTCTCTCTCTCTCTCCCTCTCTCTCTCTCCATATCCCATCTCTGTCTCTCTCCATCTCTCCCTCCATCTTTGCCTCTCCTCTCCCCCCTCATCTCTCCTGTACTCTCTCTCTCTCTCGCTCTGTGTGTGTGTGTGTTTGTCCCTCGCCTGTCTGCCTCTTCTCTCACCCTTCCCTCTCCTCTCTCTCTCTCATTCCTCTGTCCCTCCCTGCCTCTCTCCCCTCTGCCTCTCGTCTCTGCTCTCTTTCCAGCCTCTTCTATTTCCTTTTCTCGCTTAAGCATTTGTTGCTTGCTTGTCGTTTTGCAATGTCTGTATTTGTCCTATGATAGGCTATATTGAGGTGGTAATACCATGCCTGTCATGGTAGGGCAGGAGTAGGATCTTGTGCATATTTTTAGCATCCCCAGTGGAACGAGTGCTCTCCCAGCCACGTCTCACGGATCGTACAGCACAACCTTGTCACTGGATGTTCTATATTCTTTCGCTCTCTCTCAGGCCACATAGGTCGACCAAGAGAGCCAACTGCGCGGAAACACAACGATGACGTGTCCTGGCGAATAATAATTATAATAATAAAATCATAAGCAAATAATATAATAATAATGATAATAAGCGAATAATAATAAGCGAATGATAATAATTACATCATAATAATAGTAATAAGCGAATAATATTAATAGTAATAAAATAATACGCGAATGATAATCTATATAATTACACATTCTGGCTATTAATATTGGAATAAATGAGCGAGTGATATCGCATTTACGCGATTTCTCTCTCTTTAAAATTATATATATATATATTATTAAGCACATTTTCTTCCCCAAAAACTTATGTCATAGCCGTTTAATCATGACAACTAGAATGACAATCATCGTGACGGATATCACCATTTTCCCTTTCCTTCCTTATAGGGGTAGAGGAAAAGCAGAGGGAAGCTGGCACTGTGATAATCCTGGACTCGAAGCTGCATTACTGTGCAAGGACACCCATGTGTGGTCGATAAGCAGTCTGAAGGTAAGCGTTATTATGAGCATTATTATTATCATTATAAGCATTATTATTATAATCATTATTATTATTATAATCATTATTATTATTATTATAAGCATTATTATTATTATAAGCATTATCATCACTAGTAGTAGTATTATAATTATAAGCATTATTATTATTATTATTATATGCATTATTATTATAATCATTATAATAATCATTATAATAATAATTATTATTATTATAATAATAATAATTATTATTATTATGATAATAATAATAATGATTATTATTATAAGCATTATTATCATTATTATTATTATAATGATTATTATTTTTATAGACATTATTATTATCATTATAAGCATTATTGTCATTATAAGCATTATTATTATAAACATTATTATAAGCATTATTATAAGAGGTTTACTAACAATATAATGCATTTAACTACAGCACTTTCACAATGAAAGAAAAAAAATGCATACTATTAAAAAAGGGGAAATACTTATAAGGAATTGTACTTACTTCCTATAATGGTGAATAAAAAAAAAGAAAATTCAAAATGATTATAGCCTGTATGCAAAACAAGAGCACATTGTATTTATACAAGAAAGGCACTTTTCTTAGGGAAAGGTCAGGGGAGATTTAGTATATTCATTTCACAGACGTATTTATAGGTATGCATAGAGATAGATAAATAGATTGATAGATGCCTAGCCATGTATCACTCTATAGAACTCTGCATGTATATATATATATATATATATATATATATACATACATATATATATATATATATAAATACATACACACACACACACATATATATATATATATATATATATATATAAATATATATATATATATATGTCTGTGTGTGTGTATGTATATATAGAGAGATATAGATATATAGACATATAGATATATAGAGATAGATAGATAGATATCCATCTATCAGTCTGTAGAACTGTTAATTTTATATACATATGGACATGAATACTCTATCTTGATATATAACTAAATACCCTATGTTGAGATATATATGTATATATATATATATATATATATATATATACATGTTTCATATGTACTTGTATTAGCATACTGCATATTCATAGGTATATGTGTGTTTATCAGGGCCACCGAGAGCTAGACCAGGCCCCGTGGCAACTAAAAGATGTGGGCCCCCTTTTTAATTTTTCAAAATTTTCAAACGAGATTATATGTTATTTCCAGTGGATTGTAAAAAACGGAAACTAATTAATGTTAAATGCTGAGAAGTTACAAAATGTTTCAAATGTATTTCAAATTGCTACCAAAATCTTAAACCAGATTGCAGATATGAGGATGCAAGTAAAAGAGGACATTAACTTCAGTGGCAGTTTTAGGAGTAAGATTCAGCGCATGAAGTTGCTCCAGAGCTGAGCGTAATCCTGGTAGTTGAGCTGCGAAAGGTCGCACACTTGCAACACGATCAGTCCATCTTGTACCTGACAGGCAGTGCAGTGAGGATCCAATATTTTCTTGAAGATTTGACCATCGCTGAGGACTGGAGGAAAATAGATTGTACACCGTTTGTACTATACTTCAATTTTTTTCGGCCCCCAAAATGGCCCGGACCCCGGGCCCCGGCTACCCCCCACCCCCTCTCGGCGGCCCTGGTGTTTATAGATACCTGTTCATTTATTAATCTCATCTCTGATACATCTCTCTCTTTGACTCTTTCTCTCTCATCCTCTCTTATTCTCTCTCTCTCTCACCCTGTCTCTTCCTCTCTTATTCTCTCACTCTCACTCTCCCCCTACTCTTCCTCTCTTATTCTCTCTCTCTCTTTCTCTATTTTATTTATATACAATACACTTTACAGTACAATAAACTTTACAATACGCTTTACTGCGATTGTGATTTGCGAAGTTCTAGCTTCGCCTGGGCCTTCGGCTATGGCCCGGCCTAAACGCTTTACTATTAAATTATTTACTATTAAAAAAAGGAGAAATCAGAGAGGTTTACTTATAAGGAATTGTACTTACATCCTCCATTAGTGAATAAAGAAAAGAAAAAGAAAATGCATAATTATTATAGCCTGTATTTAAAACAAGGATTACAGGATTATGATTGGTAGTTATCATTTCATGGGATAATTATTATTTAATTTCTATTAGTTATATAAATTATTAATTATCACGATTTTAAAAATATTATTAACTGATAATTAACAATAATAATTCTATGAAATAATGAACATAATAATCATTAATATAATAAAAATGAGAGATTAATAATCTCTTCCTGTTATGAAATAATAACATTATGAAATTCAACTATGCAATTAAAGGATTTGCAGCACCTTGGCCGAATGGGGTGGTGGTTTAGTTTAAATAAATAAAGCCGTTTAGAAAAGGGGGCTGAAAATATTTGCATGCTGTCTAGACATACATTTCTATTTTGGTCTTCTGTTTAAATGTCTGCCGGCAGCACTGGAGGGATATTAACAAAGACTGACCTCGAAAGGTTGGCCATCGGCATTCCCAGGCGCCTTGAAGATGCCGTAAGCCTCAGAGGAGGTGGTGATAATGGAAGGAAATGAATTCACTTGCCATGGCTTTATTTGCTTTTTATTTTACGGTAAATACATATTATGCAAGATTTTTTTACTTGGGAAAGGTAAAGGACCATCTTTATCTACTCATACTGGATATGAATATATGTATGATATATATATACATAGAATATATATAGTATATATTATATATATTATATACATATATATATTATATATGCTATATATATTATATATATGCTATATATATATTATATATATAATATATATTATATATGCTATATATATATTATATATGCTATATATATATTATATATGCTATAA